GCGCTCAAATTATCCTTGCTCCGGGATGTTGCAGACGCCAAACGACAGAGATAGGGTTTGTTTAGACTGCTGGAAGTACGGAGCTCCACCCACTGACCACTGAAGCACAAACAGTCGCATCCCCCTGGACTTACATCTTCACACGCACAGAAGAGGTAGACAAAGATGGTGCCAATGGAGGTGAGACCGTATTGAGCACAAAACTCACCGTCATGACAAGGCGTCCCTATGCCGTGGTGTTGGCGAGGAGGCTTCCAGATATGATCTCGAGCCTCTTGTTCGATGTGCTAACACCTCGTACTGTGGTGCCATAGGGACTGGAATGGAGCTTTTCTTGAGAGTGGAGCTATGAATTCCTGTCTGGGTTTGGTGTGTTGTTGATAAGCGTCCATCAACCATTTGCACCAGAATGCTTGTGGGCGTTGGTGAGCGAGCTCCTAGTGATATTGCAGCAAACCAGCTGCCCACCTTGATGCATACAGAGTCTTCACGATCAAGGCTCTGTGTACTCGCTAGCCTGTGAGAGGAGGATGGAGCTTTCGTCGTTCAGGCAAGAATTGGTCGTGGTTACTACTTTCGTCGATGTCACACTGGTCACTCAGTTTGAAGGTCTCTGCATGAGATGGACAGTGAACAGGCTCAAGACTCATGCACAAGACATCCACAAGACAGAGGAGGGTCGACAAAGATGAAGAACATGGCCTGAAAAGAGTAGCAGCGTGAAGAGAATGCGGAGACAGAAGGCGCGCTTGGGGGTCTTGAGCTTCGTGCCTGCCAAGAAACCCGCCAACGCCACCATTCCCCGTTCGGTGGCGACACAGCGTCATCGTGGGTCGACGAATGAGCAGACACCAAGCGGAGACTGAGAAAGAAGACGAATAACACGGTCTTGATGACCTGGGGAGCAGGGAACGCGGAGCAGTGGCCGGCAAAGACTATTTCATTCAGGTGTTTCGACCAGCAAGCAATGACTGTCGACTGAGCAGAAGATGTCTTCGCATCATCACCACAACCACGGGCATGGACATGACCATGGCCATGGCCACGGCGAGGGACATGATCATTCACACGACCTGGAGCCGGCGCTGCAGTCGAATCTCTACAAGCAGATCGACTTTGAAGGAATCAATACTCTCAACGAGGCCGAGAACCGTTCGGGGGCAGCCATCGTCCAGAAGACATGGGATGAGAGACTGAACGACCAGCCTGTCCTCGAAAGTGACGCGGATGAACAACTCCTGATGCACATCCCCTTCGCCGGATCGTGCAAACTCTACTCCCTCCTCATCAGAACGTCAGACTCCGACTCGGCACCCCAGACGTTGAAACTCTTCCGAAACAGAGACGACATGGACTTCAGCCTGGCCTCGGACCTCAAGCCGACCCAGACACTGACATTGCCAAAGAGCAACGACGTGGTGGAGATCCCTCTGAATCGGGCGCTCTGGAACGGCACGACTTCCATCAACCTGTTCTTCGAGGACAATCATTCTGGAGGTGACGAGGAAGTGACGAGGGTCAGTTATCTGGGGTTCAAGGGGGATTTCATGGCGCTGAATCGTGAGCCGGTGCACGTTCTCTACGAGGCGGCAGCAAATCCAAAGGATCATAAGGTGATTCAGGGGTTGACCACCACCAACGCGTCTATGTCGGGTCAGTGAGGGCCAGGATGCTGGATGCTCTAGCCCAGCCCTCCAGGAGTGCGAGAGCATCAACCGGGTCATGCGAGTAGCCGCTAAAAATGCATATCATCAATGTACCACCATCCAACATAAATCACGCGTCATGAAGCTTCCAAAGCCACCCGTCTCTGCCGTGCCCTCTCCTTCTGCTTCTGGAGCTTCTCTTCTTCCAGCTCGAGCTCCGTCTTGGGCACTTCCGGGAGTGTCCCCTCGCCCACGACCGTCTTGGTCGGCGCATCCGGGAGACCGACGACCTCCCTTTCCATTGCCTCCAGTTCGTCTTCGACCTCGTCTTCGTCCTCGTTCGACATCTGACCGGCCAGCGCCTCGCTGATCTCCTGCTGATACCGCCTGGCGTCTTCGGTCTCGCCCATCAATTTCTCGACGGCTTCCAAGCCGCCCATCTCCTTGTGGATCATCTTCAGCACCTGCGTCCCCTGCTGCAACCCAAACAGCACGTCTTTCTGCACAAGGGCGAACTCGACACTGCTCGTCAGTTTCTCCAGCTGCTCCAACTGCGCGTCCGTCTTCGAGAGGAGGGATTCCTGGTATTTCTTCCGGCGCAGCGCGAGGAGCGCCTTCTGCTTGTCGCCATTCGCCAGACATGCTTTGGCGATCTCGGTCTCTCGACTCGTGATCACGGTGATTCGTTTCTGATATTGGCGCAGCTTGTCGCGCTGGTTCTTCATGTCGAGGATCGCCCTGCAGGTGCACCAGTTAGACCTGGACCTCAGTCGACTAAGCTGTCGAAGGGCAACCGACCTGTCGTGGGCGGAGATCTTATGTGAGCTCTGAGAGTTCCCCATCGTCGCTGCATGGCCGCCCGCGGCGAGCAGCAATGTTGGATGCAAGTTCGAAAGCTAAGGCGATCTATCTTGACGATCGTGCGGCCTCGTGGGGCCTCGAAACGTCAGGTCGCCGGCCGCAATGCTACGTCACAGTACAGACCATTGCGGTGCAGTTAGCTGGAATCTACGGTGGAGTGCCCCTCGCGTGTGTGCCTGAACTACAGACTACCGCAGCTTTTGAAGTCCATTCTTCCTAGCCAGAGTCTGGGTATGTTTGGGACCATATTAAAGTCCAAGGCTGGGAGCAAGAGAGTGTAACCATAGTTGCGCTTCATCTGGTGCACATGATCCTCACCCGCTTCGTGACCGATCTCAAGACAATTCCAATTGTTCCTCTTCCACCTTCCGAACATGAAGATTCAACCTTTTCTCCGGCGCAAGAATGCTTCGCCCCCATTACGCAGTAAGTTGTTCGTTGACCTAGTCCCTCATGCTGAAGCTCCCTCTTTAGACCAAGATGAAATCTGTCAATCGGCATGTCCAAGACGCGGCCATGTGAGAGGGAAATTCACAGGTGCTGAAAGCCGGGGAAACTAACACACTGTTGTTCTCATTCCATTGTCATTTTCTCTCGCAAAACACTTTTACAAGCCAGCAGAACCCGACCCGATCGGATCTAATCCAAACCCAAACGCCTCCCCCCGTGCTATCGTTGTGCTCGCGAGTACAGATATTGTGCCCAACGTGACTAAGTGAATTGCCTATTACTCCTCCCGCCTCTTCAGTCCGGCTCCACCCTCGTTGTCTTTCTCCTGGCAGGAGTAGGCTTAGGAGCAGGCGCAGGCCCAGGTTGTCTTACCTGACTTGCATGGGACGCATGGCCGCTTCCATGCAGCCTCTAAGCCTATCAGTGATAGTGGGTGATACCCGGCAAATCGAGACAGAGCTTCAGACCAACACCGAAACCGATACTCACAATCACATCATCACACCTCCATCTCCCGCCTCTCCTCCCCCTCATGTTCCATCGTCTGCCCACTCAATATCAATGTCTAGGCGACCTGTAGATATTGTTGACAACCACACGATTCATGGCGTTGGCGCAGGCACGACTGGTATTGACGGGCATGTTGATGTTCGCATTCCGGTTGATGTTCCAGCCACCTCCTCTTCTTCCTGCTCGACATCTCGGCGGTGCTGAGCAGAAGATGGTTTCAGAGTTGTCGGACCTACGCCACATTGATTAGTACGGTCATCGTTGTTTCTTCATTGCTGGCATGGCATGGCACGGCGACAGTCTTACCAAGATGAGCAGGACGAGTACCCCGAGTCGCTGTCATAGTCCCAATCGCGTGGTCGGCGTTGTCGCCCGCGGTGCCGATCACGCGGGATATGGATCGTTGCACTGACGTCGGGGCCGATGAAGATTGCTTCGTCGCCGTATCTGTACGCGCTGGGACGGGTGAAGAAGAGGGGTTCGCGCCAGCTGCCGGGCCGGTAGCGCCAGATTTCCATGTTTGGCATTGTGGGTTGTGGGTAGTTGGACTTGCCGTTGTCCTTGCTATTGTTGATCTAGCCGCTATTTGGGTGCGTAGGGTCTGTCGGAAGCGGGTAACGGTGTGCGGTGCTTCCGCCGTGAAGATACCTCAATCTATAAGTACTTGCGGTAGTTGTGATGATGGGTTCTCTCCCAACTTTAGCCGCGGAGACACGCAGACGCAGACAAAGTCCAACACAATGGTAATGAAACAATATGATCGAACGCCGACAAAAGCGTGATCAAAGAAATCTGAGCTGGCAAACTGGCCGTCTTGGTTGAAGAAGGAAGGTTGAGACAAGCGCCGTGGTGGTGGTGGCACAAACGCGAGCCGCAAGACGTGGGTGTATCAATGCCTGCTTGTATGCCTGCTTGCCTGTTGGTGGTGGATTTGAATACCCAATCTGGTCTGGCTGCTCCATCTTGTTTGCTCTGCTTTGTTGTACGACGGCGGATTAGGTCTCAGGTGGGACAAAGGCATCGATGTAGGGATGCTGTAGGGTTTGCGCACGACCGCGTCGGGATATGGATTGATTGAGAGAATCAGATATTACAGTACGACGAGGGAAGACGACGAACAAGCAAGACTGGTAGGTTAGTTCCACGGTAATAGTTGAGTTCCCTGTTCGCGGATCCTGAGCACTCAGGAATGGACGCGTGTAGACCATCCTTCCCAGCTGCCATGCTACCCGTGGTTGCAGAAAGGCGGCCGAGAGCAATTGTTAGTCTTCATTCCGCTTCCGCAAATCTGAGCCATTGTATATTCTAGTTGCCTTGCAGTACGGTCATAAGTTCTCTGGTGGAATGTCAATGATTTAAAAGAAATAACATCTGAAGACATGAGTACCAAGAGTGGTGTAGTTGGGAATCGGGGTTAGATTTGTCCCGAGTCGCCAAGAACCACCACCAGAGGCGGGATCTTTTGACGATTCAAAAAAATAGAAATTGGATCACCAAGTTGATCAGGAAACCTGTGAAACAAAAAAGGATTTTCGACACCAACAGGATTTGAACCTGTGCCTCCGAAGAGATGTGATACACTAGAGTGGTAATTCTTCAGGTAAACCTAGAGGAACAAATTCTAGTCACACGCCTTAACCGCTCGGCCATAGTGTCATCTTACTCCCGTAGAGTCTATTACAATGATTTGTTAGTTAAATTTGGAGGGTGATATATATAACGGGAATTTAAACTTTGCGTGTGGTTGCGCCGAGTATTCACCCCACTAAGCGCTTAGTCATAAATGCGAGCGCCTATCACGCCTTTTGGTGGACAGGTGGTTATGCTTCAACTTCATTGAATTGTAATTGGCGAGAACCAAGGAGCAGAGCCAGACGACTATCTAGTAGGCAACACAATATGTCAAATGGTGCAGAGTAGCTCGTGGAGAGTCTCCAGATTTCAGTCTATATGAGCCGCCTCTAAGGACCGACAGTGTCCCTTCACCATGGATATACATAGTCTACCGACGTGAAGGATGCATGCAACCCATTTTTATCAGTGTCGACAATCAGCTTGCATGCTTGTATCGCCCCTTCGCTTGCCTTGCCCCCGCCCTCATGATAGCCATTGATATTGGTAGCCCTGAAGCCCGGATCAATCATGTTGACCTTGAAACCCTCCTTGCCGAGCTGAACGGCATACAGCACGCCGAGCATATTGTCAGCACACTTTGATGTTATGTATGCCTTGTATCGAAAGGGGCCTCCAAGCCCGTAAAAGGCAAAGCTGGGATCCAAGGCACAGGTAATCGACGCTAGTCCAGACGACATGAACAGCAGTCGAGGCATTTGAGCCTTTCGCAGGAGAGGGATGAATGCTTCAGTCGTGCAGGCATATCCCGTGACATTTGTGGCGAGTATGCGGTTGAATTCCTCGCGCGGGGTCGTGCCTTCGACACTGCTGATGCCAGCATTGTTGAAGAGTACATCGAGTCGACCGTACTTTTCCTCGACGTATTTGGCGGCTTTGGCGATGGAGTTGTCGCTTTCGATGTCGAGCTCAATGGGTTCGACGGACGTTCCATGGGCGACGTTGGTAATGTTGCCAGCGGCCGCCTTTCCTTTCTCGAAGTTGCGAGAGCCAAGGAGGATGTGGTAGCCCGCCTGTTCAGCCGCCAGCTTCTTGACAATTTCATACCCAAGACCTTGGTTTGCACCGGAAACCAGGACGAGGGTATGGTGAGATGTGATCGCAGACATTGTTGGTGTGGACGCTTGGATGACGATCTAAACGAAATGCTCTGAGGCCAGTTACGCTCCCTTGAGACGAATACCACCGGTCGAGTTGGGTGCAGGGACAATGAGACTCTGGGAGACATCGTCTGCTTTTATGCTTCCCGCTCTCCTAGAGTTGGCCGGACTTACGGTGCTATTGCCTCGTCGGAGGGTTCCCGGGAACGACCCAACCCTTTTCGTCCGCAAGATCGAGCACACATCGCATGCGGATCACACAAACGAGTTGTTTATGGACCAAACAAACGAGTCACTTCACTGTCGACGTGTCTCCCACGGATCAAAAGTCGACAGCGCCAGGCAACCTCGGGAAATGTGGAGAGCCAAGTCCGGCCTGCTGTTTATGCAGCTAGTGGCTAGTGCGCGAGCGAGCCAATCACAACCGTCGGCGTTAAGAGGCTCTGCGCTCGCCCATCCGGCGATTCTACGTCGCAGAGTTTGGCAGGCAGCCAAGTTGACGTCCAGACCAGAACACTCCAAAAACTTAATCCTACCTCCTTCGGCTTCTAATTGCGAGGCACTCCGGTCTTTTTCCAAACATGCGCACTCCGGACCCATCTCATTCTGGCGATATTCAGGAAGCGCAGCGCGAGAGGGCCTCCTCTTACTTGACAGGACCATGCCGGGGATCTCAGATCGGCCGGTGAATCGGGCGAAGAACCACGCGTTGCAACGGCGCATGAAAGCTTGCATTACCTGCAAGATTAGACGTGTCAAGTGCACCTACGAACGGCCGTCGTGCCAGCCCTGTGTGAGGACGGGCCGGAAATGTGACGGCTATCCAGCGACTGAGCCGAAGCCGCCCAATCGCGACGTCCCTGTAGTGATGCTGATAGTGATGGGCAGCCCCGTCCGCTCTGCATGCGAACGTGCGGCCGTGACAGCGTTCCAATTCTTCATTGAGGTCTGTGCCCCTGGACTCCTGAACTTTGGAAGCCAGCGCTTCTGGAACGAGCAGGTCTTGCAAGCTTGCTGCGTGGACGAGAGCATCAAGCACCTCACCGTCGCAGCCTCGCGGCTGGCTTCCAGTCGCTCGGGTCACACGCCTCAGCAACCTGCGGACCGGGATCCGGTGTTTCTCTCCCACTACGGCAAGGCCTTGAAGTTGCTCAGCGGCAACCGGAACCCAGAGCTCTCGTTCCTGCTCATGGCGTGTCTGCTACTCATCCTCTGCGACGAATTTCAACAGAATTCATTTGCCGCGCTGCAGCACTTGATCGCTGGGCGAAGGATGCTGGCGATGTATCAGCCAGACAAATACGCCGAGCATCAATCGGCCCTCATTCAAGAGCTCGGTCCGATCTTTGCGAGGCTTGAATTACAGACCGGCGAGCTGTTCTCGCAAGTCAGACCACTTTCTGGCCGTTGCCAGCTCAACGACAACCGGAAATCATGGCTGCCAGGCGACATCCAGCATTTTGCGACCGCTGATGGCACGAAAGGGCAATGGATGACAGTCGACGAAGCAGCCCGGTCATTGCAAGCTATTGCGTCCGATTGCATGTCTCAGCAGCTACATGGCTCCCCACCGCCGACAAGATTCCATACCGTTCCGAATTTAACGGCGAGGCTCAACGAATGGCTCGACCAATACCACCTGTTCGAAACCAGAGTACAATCCAGACCCACACCTGCAGACCGTACAGACTTCTATCTACTCAGGACATACCATCTTTGTGTTCACATCCTTTCACGTTGCGAGCCGTTCAAGCAAGAGGTTGCATTCGACTCTTACTCCAGCAACATCGAGCACCTCATGGTCAACTGCGGCTGGCTCATCCGCACGGCCAAAACGCGGATCATCCCAATCCTGTTCTTTGTCGGCACAAGATACCGCGACGCCAGCTGTCGACGCAGAGCTATTGAAATGCTCAAGCAGTGTGGGTTGGACGGTCAACTTCTCGCGAGGATCGCCCTCCGAGTGGTCCGGATCGAGGAGAAGAATGTTGCCGACCCGATTGTGTGCTCTGACGTTCCCGCAGAGAGCCGTATCAGACTGGTTGACATGCTCTTCAACGTCCATGCCGCGTCGTACATCCTGCGGTTCAAGCGAAGGCCATATGATGACGAAACGGCCATGGAGAGCGTCCCAATATCCGCGCCAGCGCTACCGTGGGATCCTGAACCTCAAAAGCCTGTGCACGCAGTGAGTCCCCGCCATTAACTTTGCAAAGCTGCGTGCTGACTGACTCTTGTAGTGCGAACTTCTCAGGACGGTCTTGAGGTTCGATTTTATGGCCTTTTGGTACCTGGATGATCCGGCATTTACCATCCCGGCAGGCTTCGGTCTAGCATGATCGGCCATTGCATCTAGGATTGAAAGAGGTCTGACCCTCTACGGCCCAAGCTACTTTCTCAGGGAGAATGGAAACGCTCACCCTCTATGCCGCTCCACCCATCTCGAGCTTTTTTCCTTTGACGCTCTTCCACTCGAAACCCAACGAGAACAGAAACGCGATACTCGAACAGGCAATCGACAGGATGTACGAGTGCGTCACCGCGATATTATACGCGTATAGCACGCCCTGTAACTGCGCCGGCGGCGTGACCTCCCTGATGTGTGTGGCGCCCGCCATGACAATTGTCCACGGGTTCACGCCCTGCGTATGCCTGGGTATCTCTTTGATCAGGGTGTTTGAGAAGATATTCTGCGCGATGGAGATGGAGATGGCGCCCCCCAGCGAGTTGAAGAATATGGCCACGGCGTTACCGACAGGCATGTCTTTCTTGGAGAGCACAACTTGTACGGCGATGAAGGGTATTTGAACGCACGCGCCGGCGCCCACGCCCGCCAGGATCTGATACCCGATCCAGGTGCCGGTTGAAGAGTTGACTTTCAAGGTGTAGAGCAAGCCGCAGCCCACGGCGAAAATTGCGGACCCCACCCAGGTGAAGGGAACGTATGGGCCCAAGACAGTGATACTGCCTCCAACGACGATTGATGAGATGGTGATACTGACGAGGTACGGGATCGTTCGGATGCCCGATTGTTCCGCCGTGGTGCCCTTGACTGCCTGGAAGTAGAACGGCAGGTAGTAAATGTGGGTATATAGCGCCATAGACAGGAACGCCGAGAAGAATGCACACACGAACACGGTGCGCTGTCGAAGGAGGATCCTGGGCGGGAGGGTCGCCATGTCGCCCTTCCAGAACTGAATCCCACTGAAGGTAATGATCAAGAGACCAAAGCCCAAAAGACAGCCCCAGACCTGTGAATCGGACCACGGGTATGTCGTCCCGCCCCACTGCAAAGCCAGCAACAGGCAGACAATCGCGCAGATGAGGAAGAAAGCGCCCAGTAAGTCTATCTGCCCGATCTTCTGCTTCATCGTCAGACTGCTGTGGGCCCGGACGGGGTTCTTGAAAAAGAAGAACACGGCGGTGATCGCAATGGCGCCGATCGGCAAGTTGATGTAGAAGCACCATCGCCAAGAGACACCTGCGCAACAAATAGATCAGTATGCGATGTTATGATATGCTGTTCCATGCATTCAAGTTCACTCCGCTTTCAAACCTTCTTTCACTCGGCCGAAAAGGGGTAGAGGCAGGTTGCGGGCGAGGAGATGGGGATAGGTACATACGATCCGTCAAGGCACCTCCCAAGATTGGGCCCACCACGCTCGCGATCCCAAACATCGAACTCAACAGGCCTATGTATATGGGTCGTTTGCGCAGCGGGACGGAATAACCCACGATGGTCATCCCGCCGGAGAACATGGCCGCGGCGCCGACACCAGCCACAGCGCGCCCGATGATCAGCATCGTGGAGTTTACGGCTGCACCGCAGAGCACCGAACCGACCTCGAAGATGACCAGCGCAATCATATACGTCCACTTAACGTTGAAGTAGGTGTAGATCTTCCCGAAGCTGGGCTGTAGGGA